TCGTCGCCTGCCCGTCGCTCTAGCAGGTCCCGCTCGACAAACAAGACCACCCGGACCGCCGCGTGTCTGCTGCCGCCATCCGCAACGCCGGCATCGGAATTTTGTCGACTGCCCTTGCGCCACCGGTGTCTTCGCCGTCAGCGGCGCGCCCTGCATCCACGACTTCGCCTTCTCTACAGGTTTCGCCCAGGACTTCGCCACGCACGATGCCCCCTTCGCGGACATCACCACGGACTGCGGCTGCCCCAGTCGCTGAGGATTCGCCTTCTTCAGCCTCTTCCGTTGGATCGCCTGATTGTTTTTCGGGATANCTGCCCTTGCGCCACCGGTGTCTTCGCCGTCAGCGGCGCGCCCTGCATCCACGACTTCGCCTTCTCTACAGGTTTCGCCCAGGACTTCGCCACGCACGATGCCCCCTTCGCGGACATCACCACGGACTGCGGCTGCCCCAGTCGCTGAGGATTCGCCTTCTTCAGCCTCTTCCGTTGGATCGCCTGATTGTTTTTCGGGATATTCTGATTTGGACACCTCCCACTTGCGGGCTTGTGTTCAGAGTTTCAGCCCTGTGGACTGGGCTAGGGAACAACAGCGGGAGAGCGAAGTGTGTGGTGGCTATGCAATTTTTGTCTCGCGGTTCTCCCTCCCCACCCCCTCCAGGCTTCCTCACTCTCTGTGCTCCTCTTCGCTCCCCTCGGTTAGATGATGTGCTTGTGTTGGCGGCGAAAACCAGACTGCACACCACCGATGACAACATCACCCTCCTCGTACATTAATCGGCGACGTCGCCGGTTGGGCGCTCTGGCGGCAGGACTTACAGCGGCGGAATTTACGGCGAGAGGGACGGCTCACATCTTCGTCAACCAATACATGACCAAGTGGGGATGTCCGACTACGTTATTGTCGGACAACGGACTCGAAGCTCTCCATGGCGATCTACGAGGTGATGAAGATCAAGAAGGTCACCACCAGCTCCTACCACCCACAGACCAACGGCGGCACGGAACGCGTCAACCAAACGATGGCCCAGATGCTTGCGGTGGTCGTCAACGAACAGCAAAACGATTGGGACATATCATTGCACGTTGAGTTTGCCTACAACAATTCCGTGAACCAGTCTACTGGATTAGCGCCAAACGAGATCCACATCGGACGCATCCCGCGACTCCCGCTTTCGGTCTTCGATCATCCCACGGTAGGTGGTCATCAAAGCTTGGCCCGCGATCAACTCGAGTATTGCAACCTGGCTGTTTATCGCCAGCGCCGGGCCTACGAACTTGTCCGTGAGTACAACGCGCTGAAGATTTCGCGAGTCGAACGCTGTAATTCATCCCTGCTGGACGCCATTCACAAGCTCCCTCAGTTTACCGTTGGCGGGTGGGCTTGGGTGTACAATACGGCTGCTACAATTCGACAGGGCGTGCAGAAGGACACGGACCAACAGGTGCTCAAGGCACGTTCCTAGACGGGGCCC